ATTGTTACTCTCCTAAAATCTTGTTTTGAGATTTTGTACCACTGTTTTTTATTATTTTTTCTTTCTTTAAAATAAAAATAACTGATGTCAATTAAAATAAATTAAAAAAAAATCCTAGCTTTGCACCACGAGTCAGTCACACATTCTAGATTCAGCCATTCAATGAGAGAGGTCATGTCCACTCCAGCACACAGAAGTGTGTCTTCAGAACACTTCCCACAGCACACAACATGTAGTATATGCAACATACATGAAGCACACACATGCATGCAACATGCAATACTCAAAGCCTAGAGAACATAGCACAAGCACTTAACACACGCTGTACACATCTCATAACACTTGCACTTCACTCACTGCCCTGCTGTTGGGGCCCTTGGGACAGGATAGAGGGCTCACTTTGTGTCTGTACCTCGAGAGGCTGTGGCTACCCTGCTTTTGACTTCCAGATGAATCATTGCTTTGTGAGATGTGGGGGACCCCTGAGGCTGGCATGTGTCTACTCTGGCTTCCCTCAACATGTCAGTCTAGCCTGAGGTGGACTGGGTGCTGCTTTAGGTGTTGTATCCCTCATTTTAGTGGGGAGCTGCTCCTGTGCACGCAGTCCTATTACAGCCTGTCTGGCTGTTCTCTGCCTTGGTGTTCTCTGGCCTGGGAGCTCTTACAGCCATCCATGCATACAGTCTCTTTGGGTCTCTCCCTGCTTGGTCTCCACAAGGTGTGTTTGAAGGAGTGAAGAGGCAGAAGACTCTGTGGAGCTTTTTGGAGGATTGCTGGTTGGCGTTCCATCACCCACACTTTCCAGTTGTTTTCTGCAGGAGGGGCTGGGGCTTTTACGTTCGAGTTGGCTGAGGGAAGCAATGGTTTGGAAAGCAGTCTTCCACATCCTGATGTGCTACCACAAACCACACAGAGGGCTTGGCTTGCTTAATTTGGTGAGAGTTGAAGCAGATACTTAAAAATGGAGCAGAGTCTTACAATAAGATCTGACCACATAGCAGAGAGAGAGGGGAAGGGACCAAAAAGAATGAGGGTGCTATGTGTATGTGAGCCAACTCCATGTAATGAATGCAATCATTATGCACTGCGAACATGTACTAATAAAACTTTTAAAAGAGAATGTATTCTAATTGATATTGTACTTAAAGAACTACCTTTCAAACAGAAATAGGTTACTGCTATGTGAAGACTAAATTGCTACTTGTTGATCTTATTTTTATGCTTTCTGCAACACATGGGGCTTACTTATCAAGTGACTATTTTCCAGCAGTTTCTTGGTTGTAGAGTGTGTATTGGTCTCGAACATCAACAAATCCAGTGTGACTCGGCCAGTATAATCCTAGCACCCTGGCCCAATTACTGGCTGCACTCTGGCCCCACAGGCTGCACAGGCCCCACAGCACTCTGGCCCCACAGGCTGCAC